TCCACTCACCTCAGCCTCCCAAAGGTGCGGAATTACAGGCTGAGCCACCAAGCCCGGCTACAAATCTAGATTCTGAGTCAGAAGTCTGGGTTAAGGTCAGCCTTTGCTTTGCCTCATCTATTGGATGCCCTTGGGAAAGATATTTAGCACCTCTTAACTTCTTCCTGTGGCTTTTGTCTTGTGAGAGTTAACCAAAATAATTCAAATAAACATTTTAAACACTTATCTGTCCTACAAATGTTACTTATTGTTGTTATTATTACTAGTCAAAGCCAAGCACTATGTTAAGCAGTAGGAATACAATTGTCAAAAGGAAAGAAATATAGCCGGCACGGTGTCGCAGGCCTGTAGTTCCAGCTAATTGGAAGACTGAAGAGTAAGGATCACCTGAGCCCAGTAGGTTGAGGCTGTGGTGGCCATGATCATGCCACTACCCTTCCAGCTTGGGCAACAGAGTGAGACTACAACTAAAAAAAAAAAAAAAAAAAAAGAAAAAAAAAATGAAAGAAATAACCTGCTCTAGTGGTAAATACAGACTTTCCATCTGTTTCCACCTTAGGCTGTTCTTGGCTTTGCCGAGCTGGCAACACTGTATTCAGAGCTCAGCTCAAACTTTTCTGAGGCCTTTCTTGACCACAGGGTCTAAGGAGCCCCTCCATCACTCTGTCACACTACCCTATTTTTATTTTCTTCATAACACTTATCACTATCTGAAATTATCTTGCATATTTGTTTATTTGTTTATTATCAGCTTCCCTCCTGTGGAGAATAAATTTCATGGGGAGCCCTGTCTGTCTTGTCCTCTGCTCTGCTCCCGGCACCTAGAACAAGGAGTGGCACAGGGCAGGTGCTTAGTATTTGTTCCATAAATGAAAGGATGAAAAGTCTAGTGATGAGGCAGAAACATAAACAATTACCTATAAAACAATGTGCTAAGTGCCAAAGGCTTTGGGAGCTGTACTCTAAATGTACCTTATACGAAATTCTGTTGTATCACTCCTAGACGGGACCATAGAATCTCCCACTGTTCTGAAAACTTATAAGGTATATAATTTTTTGAGGCAATGATGATTGGGCCAGAATTGGTATTAGATCTCTCTAGACCGTTTCTCAGGAGACACTGCAGAAAAGCGTTTGTATTTTGCTTTTGTGTGCCAAACAAGCTTTAAAGTAGAG